GAGTAATAAAATATCACCGTATAAAGTAATTGGGACTTTTATTTACACTCTAAAAATTGCTTTATACATCAATTTTCTAAATACACCCTTAATTTAAAAGTTAAACTCAATTTTTTACTTTTTCACCCAAAAAAATTCTCATTTTCCCGTAAAAATCATTTGCACCCATTTTCTATTTCTTTTTTCTTCATTATCTTTTTATAGATATACAAATCTGTAAACTTTTAAAATCCTACAAATTTACATATCTATAAAAATTATAAACTTATGGATATACAAACCTATAAACTTTTAAATGTTTATGAATATTATGAATCTATAAGCTTTAAAAATTCACTAATTAACATATTTGTAACCTTTCAAAAACCTACGGATTTACAAATTTGTATTTCTTCAATTTTTGTTAGCTATGGGGAATTTTATTGTTTAGAGAAGCTAAAAAAAAAAAAAAAAAATGACAAGTGCAAATAACTATTGCTTATCTTTTTCATGCTTCATTCTTTAATCTAGGCTCAAAAGCTTTTCACTTAAAAACAATATCGACCTCTGTTTCTTTACTTCTTTTCTTTTCACATCAAAATTTTAGTGCTTTTAAGATTTAGTTCCTTTAATAACCTTTATCATAATCTTTTCTCCTAAGGTAATTTTTTTTTTCTTTCATTGTCTTATTATCATGTTTACCTATTTCTCTTTTTGTTTATTGAAGTGAAAATCATTATGAAACTTCTTAACTTATTTAAGTTTCAACTAATGGGTCATTACTAAAAAAAAAAAGCTCTTTACTATTGCTAGTTTACGCATATTTCTTTATATCATTTCATTGCAACACATTTTTTTTTATATAATTTAATGTTTGGTTGGCAAGATATTCTTAGGAAAAGTTGAAAATTTTATGCATTAGTTTCTAGGTTTATCAACAATTTCAATTCCCATTATAGTCCTTTCTGGGAATAGTTTAAGAAGCTTTCTTCGCATCATTGTCATTGTCACACAATCTTTTTTTTTTTTTGATAAATTCAACTTTTAGTGACAAGAAATTCTTAAGGAAAGTTAAACTTTTTAGGCCATTTCTAGGGCTTTTCAACATTTTCAAACCCCATTTGAGTCCATTACTTGTTTTTATACTAGATTATTTTTGACAATTCAATCGAGCCTATTACAAATTAAAGAAGGAATAAAAATAAAGTTTTATATGTTCCATATATACATATTTAATTTTTATTTTCCCTGGTATGCATATTAGGTAAGTTTTATATATTCTTAGATATGTATATCCAATAAGTAAAACTGGGTGTATAAAAAAAGGTAAAAGATAATTTGTTAAAATTAACTAAGTATTTCATATGAGATATTTTGTAATAAAAAAATTGAGTGCATTGAGTAATTTTTTAGATGTAAATAAAAGCTCTCATGAAACAAAGTAAACTTTTAAAACCAACTGTCCTATTTTCGAGAAAGTAACAAGAATCATTTATAGTTCCACCCTATGGATTTAAATAGCAATGTAGTAGTAGTATAGCGACTGCTATTTTGCGATAACACCATCATCCACCACTTTTTATTAGAAAATTATCATGTGAGAATTTGAATCTCATTAATAATGGAGTGTCACAATCAAGAAAAAATAGTGTAGCAACGGACCATTTTTACTATTGAACCATTTTTCGTCAGAAAACCAAAGTAAAAAAAAAAGATTTTGGTAGCCTTAAAAAAAACAAACAGCACTAATTTGACACCAATTGCAATCCAACCTCAGTTAACTCAAATTCAACCTTAAAATAATCATCAATCTAACACAATTAACAATTCAACATAAGTAATTATCTTTTTTAAAAAAATTACAAACTTTTGTTGAATTTTAATAGGACCGAGTCAACTGGTGAAGTTAGCCACTCCATCATACATCATTTGTTGAATGAGGACTTTGACTTTAATGGTAAGGGGTTACAACTTGGCTATAAGGGTAGGCCTTTAAGTGGTAGTAATGGGTTTTTTTGGTTGAGAATTAAGATTTACAATAGGAAAAGCCAGAACTTAGGTAGATGTAAGAAGTATGTCACCATGGTTAAATCGTCGAATTGGTAGGGTTGTATAGGATGGTGGGAGAAGGAAGCTTTTATTTTGGACTTTTAGGTTAAGTTTGAGAGTTGAGAGAGTAAGGATTGAAAACTAATGAAAAATGAAAGACTAAGATGAACAAGAATATGAAAATGAGACTGAAGAAAATAAAAAATAAGATATGTCAAGATAAGAGAGGGATTAAGGGGTATAAGGCCAAAAATTTAGTTCTTGATGCCTATAAAGGGGGACCTAAATAGGTTTTACTCACCTAAAATTTTTTATTGGCTAAATGTTTAATTTAAGATATAATGTTTGGACACTTTCTTAATAAGAATATCATCTTTAATTTGGTTCAATTTAGAATTAAATGTTTTCAAATTGGTGCAAAATAAGACTCCACCACCGTACTATGACACACGCGTTAAATTACAATGAATTTTTTCTACTATAAGCTAAAAAAAATTTGCTTCATCTGTTTCACTCTCTACTAGAAAGAAGAGAGAGAAAGCATATTTTTCTAAACATAGAATCATTGAAAATCAAGTTGCCTAGATTCTCGTTGCCACCATCACGTTGACCACCATTAAGTCACAATTGGCCACCACCAACCAGTCATTTTTCAACCTAAATTTTCAACAAATACTCTTCTTAACCTCGTCGTTTCAAATGTGTGCTTGGTTTTGCCTAAAACAACTTCGTATCACCTAAATATGGACCCAAAGTTATAGCCTGAAACTTCAAAATACCATTGAATTTACACCAAATTTCACCCACTCATTCCTTTCAACTTTCTTTTTCATGTTTTCATGTTAGATTTTTCTTAAAAATTGAGCAAACTTCCTAGATCTAGCCTAAAACCCACAATTTCAAGAGCAGAATTGCCTAATATCATTCAAAAAGTGAGTTTGAGCATGATTTAAAGCTTGTAACAATGATACAAAAGCATAAACTTTCAAGCAAGAGGTTTATTAAGAGAAATAATGGACGATTATAGTATAAGGTTATAAAAATATTACTATATGCAATTATAAGAAATTATAACTAACTAGTTGTAATCCCTTAAATTCTAAAATTTTCAAATATAATAAAAATTTCTAAATATTTATCGATTTTAAAAAAAATTTTGCTTGAAAAACAAAAAAACAATTCAATTTGAAAATTGTAATGTTGTATTAAGAATCTTAATTTACCCATAATATTTTATCTATTAAAATCAAGGTAAACATATCTCAAACTATGATAACAAAATGCTTAGATTCCTATTTGATATTAAGTCATCAGAAAAGGGAATTTAAACCTCATAACAATCTTCAGATAAAACCCAAACATTGATGGAGATAAAAAATTACAGGTGAAATTGATTGGTTGTTGACGATCAACCTTCACATAATATTTTATCTGTCAAAATTAAGGTAAACATATCACAAACTATGATAACAAAATGCTTAGATTCCTATTTGATATTAAGTCATCATAAAAGGGAATTTATGGAGATTAGAAATCATTGGTGAAGTTGATTGGTTGCTGACGATCTACCTTCATATATATTTTTTTCTTCGATATGATAAAGAGAATGGGTTTTCGACTAATAGTATTATGGGTGATTTCGGTGAGGTGGGGGGTAGGATTCAATGGTGGCCGATGATGACTATAGTGGTGGCCAGTCATTGGTTTTCTGGGTTTATGAATGGCTGCTGGTTTTAGTAGAGAGAGAAGAAAATTTATGTTTTAATGAGAGAAAATGAAAAATTTAATGATAAAATGGATTTAGCGGTGCGTGTAAGTCACTGTTGTTAAGCAATCTTGATTTAAAACACATTGAAAAATGTTTAGTTCTATATTGAATCAAATCAAAATTGATATCCTTGATTGAGAAAATTTTCAACTATTGTATTCTTAATTAAGCATTTAGCCTTTTTATTTAAGGAAAATTTTGTTTATAGGAAATTTGAAGGTTAAATTTTATGGGAGAAAATTTTAAAATTGAATAAATTTAGGAATTAATATGATATAAATAGAGAAATTTTAGAGAAAAATATTTGATAAAAATTGAGAGGGTAAGTTTCTTATATAACTTAAATGAAAAATAATTAAAGTTAAATGATTATATATTGAGTTTTTATGTATTAGTTTATAATTTTGTATTTGAATCTTATTAACAAATTTTTGTTTTGATATTTGTATTGTTGTTAATTTTTTAAGTATTAGATTAATTCTTATTCTGATTTTAATTATTATTTTTGTGTACTTAAATAAAAATTGAAAATTCACTCTCTTGTATAATAATTTGAAAGTAATTTACCATAAAAATATTAAATCAATTAATGTGTCAAAAAATTAAAATATTTAATAAATTATTACATTTAAAAATCATAAATATTTAATCAATTATTACATTCAAAAATCAAGTAAATAAAAGATATGTGATATCATAAATTATTTTTAAAATCATAAAATAAACGTTTTTATGATTATAATAATTATTATTATATTTTATAACATGTTGTACGAAATTAAACAAAATCACAATCAAGATGACTATAATTATCACAATAATCTCTATCATATCTATATTTATAATAAACATGATACGATAAAAAAATCATTGTGACCACAATTTAAATACCTACTCCGTCCGGCTTCCCCTATCCCCTATAAAGTATGCCAACCATATGTGCAAAAAACAACTGCCTAGCTCATCACACACGAACAAAATAAAAATAAAAAAAAAAAAAAACATTAATTCTTGCCGTAACCCACCCACCCTTCTCTTTCCTTCTTTTCTTATAAGCCCTATTCCAGTCATCACCATTTAACGATAATAATCCCCGTTTACTTCTCTTTCTTTTCCTTTTTTTTTGTTTTTTTCTCTCCCTCCTCTGTGTCCTAGAAGAATATAGAGGAATTAATTATTATATAAATAAGGAAAATAACTGATCATGGGCGGCGGTAGTGGTAGTAGTTCTTTGTCGTTTAAAGCCCCGTTTGTAACACTTATAGTTTTCGGTTTTATCTTAGTTATGTTAGTTGGGACCCTGCAAAGTGAAGGAAACAAAACAAAGACGACATTAACAACTGCTGATCAGTCGTCGTCATCGTTATCGACGTCGGGAAAGCTGCAGCAGGAAGAGCAAGTGAAGGTAATAGGTAGAGGAAAGTCGGGTCTAGTGCATCCACAGCTGGATCTCAACTACATGAGCAAAAGAAGAGTTCCTAATGGACCAGATCCTATTCATAACAGGTCTGTTTTTAATTATATATAAGCACCTAGCCAGTATTTCAATCAGTTCTACATTATCTAGGAAAGATACAACATCAAATGTCAATATATGCTGGAAAATATATATGTTTTCTGTTCTTTTTTCTAATATCATATGGGAAAGAAAAATTAGAATAGCTTTTGAATTTTCCTCGTTAAGTTCTTCTTCTTCTTTTGAAAATTTTAGAACGTTTTTATATTTAATTTGTAATTTTTGCATCCTACAATTTTCATTCCATGCAAACAAATTTAGTACCAAAGTGTTTTATTGATTTATATTTAATCACTAATATTATATACCGTAAGTGAATCATATTATGATATTTCATACAAAAAGTAATTTTAAATATATTTTTAAAATTAAGTGTATTTAATTTTAAAATTTTAATTTTTTTATGAAATATTATTAATTAATTCATTAACAGTATATAATACATTGGTAATGCATCCGATATAAATTTTATTTTATTTGTAATTTTTTCCTTCTGATTAGAAGAACTTATTGTTAAATTTAAGTTGTCCTTCAATTTAAATGCTTTTACGGATAAAAAAAAAATCCCTTCCAAATGTTGGAGGCTCATATATGCTTTTAACTGTTACATTGAGTACTATATACCCTAGATATGGTCCATTATGTTTTAATCTCCATTAAAATAAAAAGAAAGAAATAAAATAAAAGCTTGTCTCTTCACTTTATTCCATCTCTTAATCTCGCTTATCCAGACCTAATTATCGTTAGCAGAACAATGCATTTACAAAGCCTTTACTTGAAAAAACTTTTTTTTTTTTTATGGTGTCCTTTGGTTTTTCTTTCTCTTCTTTTCATCACTAGTAATACCAAACCTTTTCTTTTTTATTTTTATATGTTTATTAGTGATCTAATTTCCCCTTTTAACAGGCGAGCTGGCAACTCGGGACGATCGCCGGGACAATCTTAGGCATCAAAGTATGGGAAAGCTTATCATGACCACAAAGCCATCATATATATCTGCCATGCATATATCTTGTACGTATTCTTTTGGAAACTAGTGTGGGACTTTAAACACTGAAAATATTTTGATATCCAATTAAGCCTGTTTGCATGTTTGTTTTTTTTTTACTAACAAGAATTGTTATGGAGATATATGTTTTGGGAGAAGAGTTAAAAAAATGGAAGCTTGTTTCATACTACAAAATAATGCTCATGAAAAGCATCTAGCTGAGAAAGATATATCTTTATTAAGCAGCTAAGTAGCCTTTTTTTTTCAATTAACTTTTAAGTGTCTCATATCTTTTATCTTAAAAGATAATATTTTATTAGTTGGTAAAATTATTATGAAAGCTCAAAGAAAGAAAGAGCAGGTTGATGCGAGGAGTACAATTTTAAAATCATCCGAGATGTTGACGCAGACAGAACTTAAGAATAACTTTGATCACATTATTATTATTATTAAAAGAAAAAGAGAGAGAGAAGCATATGCAGAGTTTTGCATGTAAAGAACCACATCTAACAAGGAAGAGAGAAAGTAGGATTAAGGAGCATGCAGTTGGTGGGAATTTGGAAGTGTGGAAATAAGTTCTTTGCAGCCATGCATGTATGAGAGGAAATGTACCAAAATCCATCATCAACCTGTCAATCATTGGTTCCTTTGGCTTTGGCTTTGGTTTTGGGTTTGGTTTAGTCACAATAGTTGCCAAAGATTTGAGCTTTATTGTAGAAAAGGTGGGGCACCGGGGCATTGGCATGAGTTCCAAAACTAAAGTGAATCCACCAATTAAAGGTGTTAAGTTCCAAAAAGAAAAAGTCGTTTTACATCTTTGGATGTAACTCTTTTTCTCAGGATTCTTTTGGGACTGTTTTGGTCTTTGGGTCCATTCAAACTTGTAAACATTCATGAGACTCTTATATCTCGTGGCAATCAAAGGAAAATACAAATAGACATATGTGTGTGTGTGTATATATATAGTCAACATATTCTCATTAGAGAGAACCCAAAAAAATTAAAAAAAAAAAAATCAAAAGAGGGCTGGCTGCTCCCTCCATGCAAATTTAACCCTTTTATTATTCAGTCACTATCTTTTGTTGTTTGTTTTGAGAAACAAAGCAAAGAAGTGGTCTAAAGTAAGATTCAAACTGGGGCAATTACTAAAAAGGGAAAAAGCAAAAGAAGATGCAAGCTTATGAAGCTTTTGCTGCATTTTGCATGTGAGAGAGTCCATCGCCAATCAAAACAGAAATCAAATCCCACCTCCACTACTTTCTTAGTCTACTAAATTAATTAAAGGAATAATTAAAATAAAAATTTTAAGTCAAAGTAGTAAGGTTTTTATTTTTAAAAAATCAAATAAAAATCAAATTTTAAAATCAATTATTTCATAAATTAAGTATATAAAATTCGAAATAATTTGAACGTATTTTGATGCTTTTTTTAATACGTATTTTCTTTAAAAATTTTGATTAAACTCTATCAATATAGAATAAAAAAGTTAAAGAACAAACAAGATAAAATAAAGTTGCAACATCTATGAGCTGGGCAAAAAGCCATCTAGAATATCTTTGGACTCAAATATATAATGCCCAACCCGAATAGGCTTCCATATTGTTTTCAGTTTGGGCCTAATCTTCAGTTTGGGCAATCCATTTTATTTAATTAATTTAACCACCTTGCACATGTCATAGTTATGTTTCTTTTTCCTAGTTTTGTACGATTTTAAAAGTATTCTATGAAATGTAAAGATATCAAATAATACAAAATAATCCAAAGTTACATTAGCTGTTGTTTTATACATTTTTGTTTTTGGTTCATATGAGTGATTTTAAATTACTTAGATAACACAAGTTTTAAGCCTTGCCACGTCTATCAAGTCTTCTTAAATATGTTATGCTGGCTTAAAAAATTGATGAAATTTAAAAATCGATTTTAAATTAGTGTTCGATTTGAATAAATTTTTTTATTTAATTTGATTTGGTTTATGGATTATATTTAAATCAAACTAATAAAATTAAAATTTTAAATCAAATTGAATTATATTATTATTAATTTTCATATAATCTTTAACTTTTATAAAAAATTATTTTATATTTAAATTTATTTAAATATATAAAAAATAATATTAAAAATATTTTTAAAAATCAATGAATTGAATTAAATTGATAGAATTCACTTCGATTCGGTTTAATTTCAAAAGAAATTTGATTCCAATTTAAATTAACTTTTAAAAATTTATAATATTATGTATTAATCAAAATAACTAAATTAAAATAAAATCAAATTATTATTATCTTTATGTCGTACGAGAATATCATGTAAACTTAATAATTTTAAATATGATATTGTGATACAATAAAAACAAATAAAAATGATATAATTTAATTTTTTTAAAAAAACTATATATATGATTTAATAAAAATAAAAAATGTATTTCGTATTTAATATAATTTAATAATTTTTATATTTTACGTATATTAAACAAAAAAAAGTACAAACACACATATTCATTTGGTACAACTAAAAAAAAAAAAAAATTTACCTAAAATTTTCACACATCATATGCCTCTTACCAAAAAAGGTATAAAACAAATATTAAGATTTAAATTTTAGAGGTTTTTTTAAAAGAAATTTCAGATACTGTTACTCCTTCGACCTGCAAGGATCTATCATCAACCTTTTGTTTGTAAACATTTTGGAATATACATTAAAAAAAAAGGATCGAAGCAATGATAGTGGATTTTGTATTCTTGATTTGATAAATTAGTAAGAGAAAAAAAATGGAAATAAGAAGAACAAGACAAATGGATGTATTTTTTTTTTTTTCAAATGGCATTTTGGATTATTTTTAAGATTATTTGATGAGCTAATTACCATGATTATGAGATTATTAAGTTGATTTGATCACTAATAATTTAAAATTATTTTATTTGGTATAATAATAAAAATTACCATAAATATAAAATATAAAAAATAATCTAAGTAATTTTAATTTTTTATTTAATGAATTATTTACAAAATTATTAAGTATAAATTAATTTTGATGAAAGTAATTTTTTAAAAATATTTATTAGAGTCATAAATGTGTTCCAATAAATCCAATATAGCTTAAATTGATATGAAATTGAACTAGTTAAAAATATATAAAAAATTGAACTAGTTAAATAAATTTATTTATTTTTATAGTCAATAATTTGGAAACCAAATATGTGTTAATTTATCAAGGTAAAACAATCATAAAAAAGATTTTAAAAATTATTTTTCCATTGTAATAAAAATTTTTATTTTTTGTGGGTGCAAATCAAATGATGTTGATTTTATCATCTTTAATAATTTAATTATTGAGTCAGATTTTCTTCATTTTACAGCCATCCCTCTATATTAGAAGTTACACAAAAGTGACAAAAAAATTCAAATCTTTTAATTTTTATAATAAAGTAAAAATAACGTTTTTTTTTTTTAAATTTCCCCTTTCATTTTATTTTTTCTGGTCAATCATAACTATCATTATTATACTATGAGAAAAAAAATATTGATTTGCTTCTAAAATTTGAAAATTTTAGAAGAAAACCCGTGCCAATTGATTAAGAATAAAAATCCTGATTGAACAGCGTGCAAAACTCAATGCGACCGCTGCTAAAATTCAACGTTTTTATATGATCTGTTCATTGATTTTGAGTTGAGAATTATATCATTCTTTGATTGGCAATGGAGTTTTTCATGGATATTCAAAAAGTAAAAAAAAAAGTTATATTTCTTTTACAAAAATTAAAATAAAAATCTAATAATAATTGAGTCCTTGTTCCCTAAAAAATCGTATCTTTAAACATTCTTTCAAAGATGTTTATTTCCCCAAAGCAAAAGCTCCCATACCGAAGCGACGGGGAGAAACTGCACAGTCATTTGAACAACAACAGTGAAGAACGGTCCCACTTCAACTCTCTTTCATAATAAAAAACAATACTCGTAAACTTTAAGTTACCGAGGAAAAAATGCACTTTTTCATCAGCGAGTTCAAATTCTGAACTACCATGGATGCTCTCCACCTCCACCTTGTTATTGTTTTTATTACTATTTGATAATAATAGTATTAATTCAGGTGTTTTCTCTTCTTCTTTCTCAGGAAAGCAGAACAAAAGCAAGAACAAACAGAGCATCTGCCATTGATAGTTTCAATTACTCATTGCCTTTCTCCAACTTCTATACAAGTATCTATCTTCAACATTGCTTCTTTCTTGCTTATTCTTGGTTCTCTTGCTCTCTTCTTTTCGGTTATTCTTAGATTTCTTAATCTCTTTGTCATTTCATTGGTATTTTTTGAAAGATAGAGATTTAAGCTGGGTTTCTGTTAAAGATTTTATTTTTATTTTTTTTGGAAATTGAAGTTGTTAGAGAAAGATGAGAAATGGGTTTTCTTGATTTTGTCCATAGCACATTGTTTTCAGCTTTATCCATTTTGTAATTCTAAAAATGAGATGAGAAATGGGTTTTCTTGATTTTTTCCGTATCACATTGTTTTCTGCTTTATCCATTTTGTAATTCTAAAAATGTGCATATGTTTGCATCTGTGGGCATGTGTGTAAATTATGTGTTATATTAATGTGTTTCCTTTTACAGGCAGAAACTAGCAAGTGTTTCGAGTTGATCAATAGGACAGTCATGGAGCCTGTTGACATGGAGATGGACATTACCCAACAACACTCTGCTGATCCTCTCCCATTTGCCAGAAGGTGGTTCCTTTTCATCTTTTCTTTTGATAGCGTAGCTGATGAAATGAGATAAAGCTTCTTTTATTTATTTATTTTTATATCCTCTTGTTACCTTTTGTATTCTCAAGAATTAATGTAAGTAATTTTGATGTTTTCTGCATTTGGTTGTGGTTGTTTATGCAACAGTTATCAGCTTGAAGCATTTGAGAAAGCTATCGAGCAAAACACAATAACTTACTTGGAAACTGGCTCCGGCAAGACACTGATTGCCATCATGCTTCTCCGCAGCTATGCGTACCTTA